CTGGATGTAGTATTCCGCATGATGACACTGGTAATCAACTCCATGGTGGAATCTACTAGGAGCAGCTGAATAGCTGCCTTTGGATATGTGGTCTGCTTCCTGTATATAAGGAGAAGCTTTGAGAATGGTCTCTAGCTTATGGCACACTTGGACCCTGCGTGTAGCCATGTCATTGCTCAGCAGCCTGCTGTGCTTATTCTCTGCCGACCTTGGGACTTACAATGGACTTAAGTTAATGGCCTGCTGTATGGTTTGGTAACATCAGGACTGTGCCTTTTTACTTGTCAACCTTGGTCTTCTCATCCTCAGCAGCCAGCAGCTGTCTGAGTGAAGAAAAGCCTCTAGCTCCAGTGGGCTGGGAGCAGGAAGCAGAGCTGGACCCCAAGGTTGAGGGGCTTTCACCCAGCCCCTAGAGCCTGGCACTTTGAACTTGGACTTAAAGCCTCCAAATTGTAAGAATAAACTCCTGTTTGTTAAGGCCATCCCATTTGTAGTATATTTCTTGTCAGAGCGGCACTAGGTAACCAGAACAATGAGGAATAAGTGATTAAATTGGAGCAAAGGTTAGATGAAATGGAGTAGATGTGATAAGGCAGGAAAGGCAGATTGCACAGGCTGGAAGAGCCTTGAATGCCAGTCTTAAAAATTTGAAACTCTTTGAGGCACTTAGGTGCCATTCAAAGTTCTTGAGCTGGTTGTCTATGAGTGTCAGGTTAGCACATTTAAGTATGTGCTTGGGAAGCTGACCAGCAGAATAGAGGGTGGATTTTAGTAAGTAGGAACTTATGTTGTTGGTGTTATGTGCCGCTGAGTCGGACCCAACTCATAGCGACCCCTCCTTGGGTTTCCGAGGCGGTATCACTATGGAAGTAGATTGCCCAACCTTCCTTCTGAGGAGTGGCTGGTGAATTTGAACCAACAGCCTTCTGATTAACAGTCAAATGCCTTAGGCACTACACTACCAGAGCAGCATGGAAACCCATTAGAAAGCTATAACTGGTATCCCTAGGTGAAAATTAACCAGGGTCAGAGTAGGAGGAATCAAGGCTGAGGAATAGATATAGATGAAATTTTAAAGTTAATCCATAAAACTTTACAATCTATTGGAAGTGAAGGAGCATGGGAGAAGCAGAAATAAAAAAAAAATGGAACTGAGGCTTCAAACCAGATTAGCTGGGAGGTCAAAGAAAGGAACAAAGAAGGAGGAATACGTTCATATGGAAAGATAAGAGCTTGATTAGAAGATACTGAATTTATGGTGCTAAAATTCACATCAGGCTTGCGGTTCTTATGGGTCTAAATGGGGAGGACAGGTGCTGAGACAAGCCTGAGGCTGAGACCATGGCTTAGACTCATCCCAGTGGGGGACCTCATCAACAGTGACACCACGTTACATGAAGCAGACATTACAGGCTTGGTGGGCAGTTAGTCAGATCTAGTCCACAAACATATTTATTTGTTTGTTTCCATTTTGAAATTAAATTAACATTGTAATATCAGATTGTACTTAAAATAGTGATTTCTGAATCCTCTTTTAAAAACCAAATGATCTGGCTAACTGTGGTGCCACATGGCAGCAACAGCTGGAGTTGTACAAGGCCGCCCCCCTTGAGATTGCCAGTGAGTTCTCGAATGCACCACCATCTCACTACTCCCCATCATCTCCTAACACTTAAAATGAAAAGCCATTTGCAAAATCTATAGAGACAGAAAGTAAATTAGTGATTGAAACTGGTATGGGGGGATGGGGAACTTCTGGGGAGGGAAGTTGAGGGCTGAGGACTAAGGCGTGCGGGGCTTCTTTTTAGGGTGATGGAAATGTTCTGAAATTGATTGTAATGAGGAGTGAACAACTCTATGAATATACTAACTGCCATTAAACTGTATACTTTACATTTTAAATGGGTGAATTTTATGGTATGTGAATTATCTCAATAAAGCTGGTTTTTAAAAATGAAAAACAGAAAAAGGTCAGTGCTGTTGCCCCTGTGATGTTGGTTTTCTTGTAGCAGAAAATACTCTTTGTAAATGTGTGTCTATCAAAAAGGAGGGAATGAAAGGTAGACTGAGAGAATTTGGTATTTTAAGAAATATGGAAAAGAATACATCTCTGTGATAATTAGGAATTTCTCATGTTAACATATGTTACCTTCTTAGCCACTGAAGACATTTGAGTATACACACACACACACAAATCTGGTCATTGCCAACTCCCCGACACCCACCCACAGGTAAGAGAAGAGAGGGAGAACAAAAGCAGAGAAAGGAAGAAGTGTTTAGCATTATAAAAGGAGAAGTAGAAGCCAGTATCCTGTATGTCAAGGGAGGGAGAAGCTTTATCAAATGCTGACAAGAGGCCAAGGAGGAGGACAGACATAGTCAGGAGGTCACGGGAGACCATCAAGTGAGAGAGCTTGAGGAAATAAGACCAAAGAGAGATGCAGAGGCCGATGATGAAGTATCTAAAATGTATTGTTCACAAGTTAGTATTTTATTCTCAGGCATAGAGGGATGTTGCAGAATTTTGAATGGGGAGGGGTGACATGATCATATCAGCACAGTCTAGGTTATTTGTTTTTACATTAATTTATGTAAGTTTTTAATTGTGTACATGACAACTGCAAAAAGGGTATGACGGTGGCAGCATCCGACCTCCTCTTACTTCACAAGGAGTAGGGAAAATCACCCGCAGCGACAGCTCAAGTCTGATTCCTATGAGGCAGATATCAAACATGCTACCGCTCTCCAGCCTTTTTACCAACTCTGACACCAACAGTCCCTCCCACGTCATTCTCTGCTTCTCTACTGGGTTCTATAATTTGTTGCAATAGCTACACAGAATTCACAGACAATACCCACAATTATAGGGTTTATTAAGAAAGTAACAGGTTACATTTCAAGATCAGAAACAGCTCAGGATACAGTTCTTCAATCAAGACAGCTAGCTTCTTCGCAGCTATGCTACAGGCACGCTTCCCTGGCGTTGGCCTCTGCCCTGCTCATCCCAGTGTTACAAAGATCTTTTCATTTTGCCAGTAGGTGCCCAGAGAGGCACCACTCCACTGGCAAGGCTTCTGTCCAAAGGCACTCAGCTTTCTTGCTCCGTGGGCCGGGAAGCCCAGGACTCTGTCTTATGGTGATCTCTTGACTCTGCTGCCTCTGCTGCCACTGTCTCTCTCTCATCATCTCAGCACAGGGATCTCAGGTCCAAGCGCTCACTCCACTGCTAGTTCTTCTTCCTTGATGCCAGTGAGATCTCCTTTTCTGCCTCTGGGCTGGCTCATTTTAAGCCTAGCAAGATGGCAAAACTGACCAATCCCCACATTAGGGTTCCATACACCTTATTTGCATGGTCCCACCCACACAAGGATGCCATGTATCTAATTTACATTATTAACAAGCTATCTAATCTCCTTGGTGGGCCACAATTACCATACATTTATATAACCCCACCCAGTTATCTGGTGGGAGTCACAAAAACCATGGCTAGAAGAGCCACATTAATTCAGTGTACCACAGTGACCCAAAGTCACCCCAAATTTAATTCTTTCCTGTGCTGAATTCCCCTTCTATCTGAAATCCTCTGGCTGTTAAGGCCTCAGTTGTCAATTTCCACCTAATTCATCCCCCACACCTGCTTAAACCAGGAATAATATATGATATGGTTGGTGTTATCTAACCCAGGGTTTCTCAAGCTCAACACTGATAAATTGAGCCAAATAATTCTTTGTTGTAGGAAATTGCCCGTGTATTATAGGATGTTTAGCAGCATCCCTGGCCTTTATCCCCTAAATGTCCATTTAGGCATGGCCAACAAAATTCCCTCCAGCTGAGATCTATTTGAATCACATTCATTGTTAATTCAAAAACTTAAGGCCATGCAGGATTGTAGCCCAGCCTGGAAAAGAAGACCAATTTGTACTATACACAAAGGGGTGAAATGAGATGATGAAGTGAGTAAGCAATAAATGAAAAACTTAAGAGCTCATTTGTTTTCACCTAATCCAGACTTCAACCTCTCTGTACCTTAGTCCTCTCATTGAAAAGAGATGGTATCTTGAGGGTACACAGCAGATTAAATCCCCAGCTATGTCCCCCACCCCCAACCCCCAAGTCTAGGATTCCTCCTATGGCCTGAGGTGAAGTTTAGAGGGGACGTGTGTGTGGTGGTTATGATAATGGAGATAATGGGGAAGTTCGGGGTGTGTGTGTGTGTGTGTGTGTGTGTGTGCTGGTTATGATAATGGGGATTGGCTTCTAAGTGGTGGGACTTGTAGACCTGCTTCTAAGGAGGAAAAAGACAGGGAGAGGGTAAAAATGGTTTTCTCCTGGTAAAACAAAGAGAAATCAGTGAAGCTCTGGAAATGAGATAGTAGTTGAACTGCAACTTTGAGTAGTCTAGGATCCCAGATAAAGTTCACTTCAGATCTTCCCCTTTATAGAAAAGTCTTAGAAGGTAAAGGAATGTTTCTCTTGGAATAGGGATATCTAAAACAGATTAGATGTGAAATGGTTAGATCTTCCAGATTCATCTTCTGGGAGCAGGGCAAAGAAATTTTATATGCATATGCCACCATTTCTATAATGATAAGGAAAATTGAGTTAAAACTCTTATCAAGCTAAAGAAGTCTTACAACTCTATTAAACTAAGACTGTTTCATAACTGTCTTTTATTCTGTGGAGTAGCATTAAGTCTTTGTGCCATGGATATGAATGGCTTGATTTATTATTAGCAATGGCTCCAAGCTGCCTTGCAATACAACATTCTGTTGATATATAACTGTTACCTTTTAGCCCAGTGGTGGACACATTCACTGAGGCTGAGGGAAACTCATGATACTTCTGATTTTCATTTTCCTATTCTTTAACCTCTCTCCATCTTCTCTAACTCACCAATTTTGGGTAAAGAACCAAGCCCCCAAGTGAATGTGTAACGACTGGACTTCCGCCTCTGTGAAATACCATCACAAGAACCATGGTTTTGCCTGGTTTCATTTCAGGTGCTTCTGGATCCAGCTGTGTGACGGCTGCATTAGGAAACACATGGAGTCACAGTGTGAACACCAGGCTGATTCTCCAGTACCTTGATTCAGAGAGAAGACAGGTGAGGGGTTTGACTAACAATCTGAGGGTTCGTCTTCTGCAAGCATTGGCCATATTGTCTGTTCCTGGGTCAGCACTGGCAGAAGTGGTACCTAAAGAAACCACCATCCCAGACTATCCCAATGGCCATTATAATAAAATGGGAAGAAAGTCACATATGGGAGAAAATACAAGAACAGATCCCTGAGAGTTAGCATTCCCTCTGATATTTGCAATAACTTGAAAGTAAATAAGGTCCACACCTTTAGGGATCTTTTGGGCTTTGTTGAGGATGAGATAATTTGTGTATGAAGTAAGTGGTGATGGTTGTTCTTCTTGATGTTGATATGCTTTGAAAATCTTAGACCAGCTAAATCCTGTATCTGCAAACTGGATACGTTTGCATTAACTCTTAAGCCAGTAGCTTAAGGTACTAAATAATGCCAGGAGACCTCCAAAAGGATGATGACTTTTCTCATAGTTCCCTAATTATAGTTACTATCCAGGCCGCAAGGGAAAATTCTCCTGTTCCACTTCCAAAAAGGTTACTTTCTAGCCCTTTCTTAATCTTCCCTCCCTACTCAAAGAAAGGGAGGCCACAGTCTTACTCCTTAGGTAAAATGTTTCATAATCAGGAAACTTACTTTTCCCCATGTCTAACCTGAACTCTATCCTGCTTTGTGGACTACATTCATTCTATCCCCCTCCTGCAAGTAGAAGGGGAAGAAGAGAGGATTATTATTCTGATTTGTTGGATAGGGCAGAATTCAAAACTAAGATTTGCTCATTTTGCTAAATATATAACAAATCAAGTTATTAATCAGAGAGGCATGAAATATTGTGCTGGTGGTCCTGGGTGGAGGAGGTAACTGGGTGGGGGAGTTGTTGCTCTTTACTGGCATTAGGTAAATTGGCTGTTTTCCAAGGAGCCAGGAATCATCAACACCAAACATGAACCTTTGCCTGTTCCAGAGGTAACTTTGCAAGAGCCCTTGATTACAGACCAGAGGATTCTTTTTGGTTTGCTTAGGACTGTGTAAATAACATTCCAGCTTGGTGATTGAGTCAGCCATGTTCTGAGAAGATGGAGCTGCTTGTTTTCATTTAGAGAAACATTCTTGAATTTTCAGGCCTTGGCGTGCTCATTACCTCCGTGATACCTCTCCCCTGATGATTCAAGTGTCCTGGACTCTGAATCCTTCTCTTTTTGGTGGAACTCATCCAAAAATATTCCTGGAGACCCTAATGACCTTGGGTCTGTACCCTAGGTAATTAATAGTGTTAAAGAAATCCTGTTTGCAGCCGTCAGGAATATTATTATGGATTGTCAAGCACTACTAACTAAACTCTTTTTTAGGGAAGCACAATTCTTTGTGGATCAGTGTTGATTCATTTTTTTTTCATGGATTCTTAAGCATAGTTCTTGAAAATCTGTGGTTCATCTCTGCTTTAGATTTTAGATGGCATTCTTATCTTAACATAGTGATTTTGTGATTATGTACAGTCTATTATGTATGGTATCATGGATTCAAGAATCCTGTTGTTGTTGTTGTTATGTGCCGTCGAGTCAGCCCTGACTCATAGCGACCCCTCATTGGGTTTCCGAGGCAGTATCACTACGGAAGTAGGATTGCCCAACCTTCCTTCCGAGGAGTGGCTGGTGGGTTTGAACCGCCAGCCTTCTGGTTAGCAGTCAAGTGCCTTAGCCACTATGCTACCAGAGCTCCTGAGAATTCTAGTTTAACTAATTCTAGTTAGAATTCACTAGTAAATCAAGAATTCAAAGCTACATTTTTCTGTTAATTAATCAGCTATTTCCATTTGATTTATTTTCAACAGAAAGTTGATGATAGGAGAAATACTATAATTTTGTGTCTTCTTTGCTAACTGGAAGGTTTTGGTAGCTCTTAGCTTGGAAGGAAGGTTGGGCAATCCTACTTCCGTAGTGATACTGCCTCGGAAACCCAAGGAGGGGTCGCTGTGAGTCGGGACCAACTCGACGGCACATAACAACAACAACAACAAAGCTCTTGGCTCATAAGGTCAAATGCAGGCCACTGGTCATGAGTTTGGATGGATGAGTGACAGTCTATCAACTCACATCCTATTAGATGGGTCAGCAGTGTTATCTTAATTTACAGAGGACATTTTGCTACTATCATTACTAATCAATCAGGTGCAGCATTAAATGCCTTGAATCATGTTTTCAAACAATAATTAGAAATTAAAATAAAATTTGACCAGTGTTAAAATGGCCAACCCAGGCAAAGTAACTTACATTTAACCTATAGGAATGTGCATGTGTGAGTGGCTAGTTGTTAACTTTGTGGTTTAATAAGTAGGTGCAAGTTTGCTATAGAAAATGTGTCTGTCTGATGGGCTTATCTTGCCTTAGCAGAGGGTATGCTTAATGATTAATTGTTCCTTTCCTATAGTCTTACTTTGTGGCAAAGTATAGAAGGTCATATGAAGATAAATCTCTTCTGGGATATGGGCACCAAGCAATGCTTTAAAGCTAGCCTTTAAGGTAACTGTACCAAATTGTACTTTGTAACACTAAGTAGGAGAACATCCCTAGGTCATTTTAGGGTAGGTGGACCTTGAGAACACCAGCAACTTGGAATAGATACCAGGAATAGCCAGTTTCCTTTTTAAAATATGAAACAGAGACCACTACACCGAGAGATGAAGGTTATGGAATGAGGATTATGTTTTATCCTGTTCCTATGACATTGAGCTCTCCACCGGGCTCTTGAACATGGGGCTTAGTTCGACATCATAGGGCTGGAAGGGGGTCAGGTCAAGCTGAGCGGATCTGTGAGCTGATTAGCCCAGGAGCTGAACTGTACACAGTTCGGGTGGGGCAAGAGCCCTCACTGGCTGATTATTTTCTTTACACCTTGGAAACTTTGTGAAATTATATAACCAAGAACGAAATCTCATCAGGGCACAAGCCAAATTAATTCTCTTGTTTATTCTGCATCAGTGTTTACAAAAATCCTCTTAAGGAGCTGGGAAACATTTTCTTTTGGACTAATTTAGCTTTTTTTCCATTTGACTTTTCTTCTATTTACTCTTTTCCTACTCTGCTTCTGTCCTGCCCCACTGTTTTTTGCAACATACTTATCCTCACCAAAGACATGTCCTTGGAGTAGAATTAAAATAGTCTCAATTCGTTGTTTGTTTAATCATCAGAAATATGTTTTGGCTCATGTCATGTCATGGGGATACAAAGAAATAGAAGAGAGTTCTTCCCTCAAGGCTCTTCTGGTCTAATATGGGAGAGATACATATACTCGTGAATAATCAAAGTGTAATGTAGGCATTAAACAACAAATATGAGGTACTGCCACATGGCAGCTTTTGATTTACTATCTAAAAAGTGGTTAAAGCAGTAACTTCTCTGAATCCAGAGGTAGATAAAATAATCAGAGAAACATTAAGTCTTTAAAGGTGGAATTGAATATCACCTTAAATCAGATTCTCTAAACAGAGTGCACTTTACCCAGGAGCATTTACAGTATACCAATGCCAGGACCCTGCCCCAAAGCCACCACTGCCATCGAATTAATTCTGAATCATAGCGATCCTATAGGCCAGAGTAGAACTACCCCCATAGGGTTTCTGAGGCTGTAAATCTTTATGGAAGTAGAGTGCCTCATCTTTCTCCTGCAGAGCAGCTGGCATATTTGAACTGCCAACCTCCCCAGACTTATCAGAATCTCTGCAGGTGTGGCCAGACATCAGTGTTTATTATATTTTATTTGTAAAGCTTCCCAAATGTGCAGCCAAGGTCAGAACCTCTGTCTTAAATAGTGCATAAAATGAGATTAGTCAGAAAGGAAAGGGAGGATGTTCGGGTTGGAAGGTGAGCAGCAAAAGAAGAAACACAGGAGGGCATGTCACATGTTCAGAAGACACAGGTTGAGTTTTGCTTTTTAACAAGAGCAGAGGTGTGTGCCCTCATTCATTTAAAAATATTTGTATAATCACTTGTTCTCTGCTTTTGTTGTCGTCGTGTGCCATTGAGTCCATTCGGACTCCTAGTCACCCTATAGGACAGAGGAGAACTGCCCCATAGGGTTTCCTGACCTGTAATCTTTATGGAAGGAGATCACTAGGTCTTTCTCCTGAGAGCCACTGGTGGGTTAGAACTGCTGATCTTTCAGTTAGCAGTCAAGTACTTAACCATTGACCCACTGGGGCTCCTTTTATTCTCTACTGATTACTGAGTAAGGTGTTGTTGTTGTTGTTGTTGTTGTTATGTGCCGTCGAGTCGGACCTGACTCATAGTGACCCCTCCTTGGGTTTCCAAGGCTGTATCACTACAGAAGTAGATTGCCTCATCTTCCTTCCGAGGAGTGGCTGGTGGGTTTGAACTGCCAGCCTTCTGGTTAGCAGTCAAATGTGTAAGGTGTTAGAGATTCAAAAGATGAATAGGAGATAGTTGATACCCTGTACATGTTCACAATCTACTTGGGAAAATAGATGAGCATGTAAATAACACATGCTGTAAGTGTCATGAGTGAAGTAAGTGTAGAGTGGACCACAAGGTGGTCATAACTGCTTCCATCTCTAAGAGAAGCTCACAGAGGATGTCATGTTTGAACTCAACCTTGAAGGATCAATAGCAGTCTTGGGCAGAGAAGAGCAGAGGGAAGCCATTCTATCTTTAGAGAAAATTATGTGTAAAGGCACCCAGTATTCAAATTGAATTGTGTGTTGAAGAGAATAGCTCAGAGTAGATGGGGTGTAATGTAGCAGAAGAGGAGACTGGAGAAATGGGCTGAGATAGATTGTGAAGGACCTTAGATGTGGAGATAAGAAGACTGGCTGCCACCCCATGATCAGGGAAGTAAATCATGTGCTCTGAAATCTGACCAACTTGCATTTGAATCTCAGCTAAATGATTTGCACATTATTAAAAATCTTTCTGCCTCAATTTCCTCGTCAGTAAAATGAAACTAATAATAACTACTTTATATGGTTTTTGTAAGGGTAAATGAAATAATAAAGTGTCAA